CAGTACTGTCTAAACTAGTGTTTCTCAAACGGTGGGTGACGCAAGCAAGTTTCTAGAGGGGTCATGAGCTGTCTGCACTGAGTCAACATTTTATTTTGAGTCCTCGAAGTGTCTAAGAGGTGCACCTATCGCCTTTGTTATGAACTATGACGATCTGCGCCAAGAATCACCAATAATTGTTTTCAATTCTTGTAGAGGTAATGGGGGTCGCGACGACCAAAGGCCTGTACGCGGGGTTTGTCTGGTCAATCCGGCTGAAAAATATTAACCTACACCCACCCTTCCCTTACGCATATAATGACGTCATCCTTATTTCCCGATTCCCAATTTCATTTTTGCATAGTTTAATGAAGTTTAAAAAGCTTCCCACGCTCTCACACACTTTCAATTATACAGTAGAGGTAGAAATGGTTTATGAGAACGAAGTAATGCTCTCATCAAATTAAACTTTCTTTTGAAAACATTTCAGCACGAGCTAACATATGGCTGTAGTCTACGATATTATATAGAAGTTTAGTTGCAAGATAACGCATATGACTCAGAGAGTCATGCCATATGTAAGTGGTATACACACCTTTGGTCGATTAGACAGCATAAAAACCGCGAAAAAAAATATATTATTCTCCACGTACAAAATTAGGTACTTCCTGCGAGATAACAGGCGACGGATATATATCAGATGTTTTACGACACTCCCGAGCTAAAACAAATATATCTTAACACTTACACTTATATGTATATACACGCAAACTTAAACACACACACACACACATATTTATATATGCGTTGATTTTCCTTCCATAGTTCAGCAACATTCATATATGTATGTGGTATTTGTTTAATTTTTCCCGGTTCTCTCGGCTCGAACCCGAGATCTCTCGCACACTATCTCTGCTAATTGAGGAAAACGGTTAACCCCTAGCAACTGCTATAGTAAGGAACTATCTTAACAACTCAGTGATATAGTAGCCCAGTGACTAGCGTGCCGGACTATGGATCTGAGGTTCAGTTGTTTGAGTCTCACTACTGCCATGATATAAAAAAACAAATAAATTACGCTCCCTGCTTTGAAGCCGTGGTCGAGTTTTAAGAGTGACGGTCAAATCCCACTATTCTGTCTAACAAAAGTAGCCCAAGAGTTGGCGGTGAGCGATGTTAACTAGTTGCCTTCTCTTTAGTCTATCACTTCAAATATAATGGGAGCCAGGATATCTTTGCCTCCCCCAAGCTAATGCCATTTATTAATATAATTTTAGATTTGCCCCAAATGATATGTCGTTGATCATAAAAATAGAGAAAATGATAATAATAACAACATAAAAATAGATAAAATTATAATGATAAAATTAATAATAGCAATAAAATGTTAAAGGGGCCAAGCGTTGTACCTATTAATGGAAGAGCGTCTGGACTGAATTAAAAGTGATTCCTTATATTTTCTGGCGAGGATACTTTCACAAGTTTCTAAAATTTTGATTGTATATAGTGTCTCATTGATTGTGCCGTGTTCTTTTAAATAATGTTCAGCGGTAGCTTCTTTGTTGTCAAGATTTCCAGTGGCACGAATGTATTCATTGAAACGATCGTGTATTGGACAATTGGGTTCACCTACATATGTGGCCAAACACTGTGTACATATAAGTTCATAGACAGTGTTTTTAAGTGTGCAGGACTTCTCTAAGCCATTCGTATTTGCAAAACACTTATTGGATTTACATATATTGTCTATATTAAAGGCTGAACGAGTGAGTATATCCTTCAGTTTTCTACCAGATTTTGTATGATTTTGATATTCAAACCAGATCTTGTAATCACTTGACGAAGGCGAGTAGTTAAAGGTTCATCCACGAAGGGCATAATCCATGAAACAGTGTCTTGATGTGATAGCTTCTTTATTTGATGTCGTTAGTTAATATCTTATGAGTCAAAGCGGTGGAATGTCTTAGTAATGCAACCGTACGGGTAGCCAATAATGCAAATACAGAGTAATAATTACATGTGTTTTTACGTGTGTAATATTTAAACATGTAGTTTTTACACTAGTTGTGATAGCCACCCCTAAGGGCGTGTTTTAAAACACACTATTATTTTTAATTCTTTATTTTTAATACATTCGTAATCTATCTATCAAACTCATCAACTATAATTACATGTGAAGTTTAGTATAGATATCAACTATATTAATTTACAAATTTCACTTTCACATAAAGTTCTAGTTATGAAACTAAAATAATAATACAAATGTGAACTTATTTCCTTAAACTGAAAGGAAAAATACGTATTATTCAATTGAATTTTGTTGTAAAATACAAAAATCGTTAATTGTAATCTTTACGAAGTCTGTGAATTATGAAAAACACTATACTATATGCGAACTTACACACCCTCAAACGATTACCACTATAAAAGATGAATATTATATTATCAGTGGAGAGTATTGTACGTGAATTTGTGTATGTTCAAATAACTTCCACAGTAAAAGGTAAAAGCTATCTTTTCAGTCAATTTATCTGAATTACCGACATAATATCTTAAGTTATATTTAATTTGTCTTTTTTTTTCAAATAAAATCATGGATTTTGTAAAGAAGAAAAAAAAGGAACTCTATGTCATACATGTTTTCTAAACGAACATAACTTTAAAAACATTCAGACAGCATTATCTGAGATTTTTAGATAACTGTGTGGATAAAACAATGTATTTCCAAGCAGAAAATAGATTATACGTGTAGTTGACTTATATCCGTTTAGACTGTATACAAGATAGGGCCAACAAAAGCTCGCATCTCAAGAATATAACTGAATTGAATCCTGCTGACTCTGGCAAGTTCCAAAAAAAGGTATGTGCGTTCCAGAAAGGAGCCCCCTTCACCGAGTCTCCCCAACAACGAAGCATCCGTGCAACAGTACAACGCCTGATTATACACACTAAGCAATCATACTTAAGATGCTCTTGCCTGGCAGTTTTAGACTGTTTGCATCAAATAGACTTGCATTATTTTTTGTTGGTTCCAAGAACGCAAACCAGCTTTGAAAGAAATAATAGCATGAACAATAAGCATTTTGAAATTAAAGGTTGTTGTTAAGCACAAAGTTACACAATGAGCAATCTGTCTTTTGCCCATCGAGGATATATATAAACCCGATTTTTAACTTTATAAGCCCTTGGAATTACCGCTGAGTTAGAGGAGAGCAGTTGGTAAGATAATGAGTTTCCTGCTGTCCAATGAGGAAATAGACGAGATACAACTTTATGTTTTGGTGGGAAATCTTAAACTGTGTTTTGTATTTGTAGTTTGTACTTATGAAAAAGCTACCAAGGCTGTCTGCCCCCGTCACCTAATTTTGAACTATTGACCAGAGGGAAGAAAACCAGTCAACAGCATCCTACCACCCGCCATACACATTAATGAACTGACTGTCACTCTTATAACACACTCACAGCCTGAAGTGCTGGGAATATTTTGTAGTAACGCATGGATTCTAATCAGGTTCGCCAGCTCTACCACAGGGCCAAATAGCGCCTCACAATAGGGAATGAAAAATTCTACGGATACTGCTTCATTAAATGTTTATAGATATAATAAAAACATTTGGGAAATTTTCTATCACTTCTCTTCAAATGCAAAAATGACTGTGAAATTTCTATAAGCAAACTGTGAATGGAAATAAATAGTTTTATTTAGATTTGTTACTTTGTTAATTATAACATGTCTCTCTATTTATTGCATTTTAAGGTCATTGGTCTGACAAATAATTTGAAAAGCGTAGCACAGAGCGTATGAAAGTTTCAGTGATATGTGATTTTATATGAAGCTCTATCTAGGTTCTAATAATGAAAACATACACAATAGTTTTCTATTGGAAAGTAATCTAATAGGATAATATATAAAGCTTTTCCACGATGCTAGCTGTGTGTTGACATATCTTAAAGCAATTAATGTGTACATTAATAAGCTAAATTGTTTATCAATAAGATACACTTCTGTTCTCAAGGTTTTTTTACAAAAATGCTAAATTCCAGAGTCGTGTATCTTAAAGCAATTAATGTGTACATTAATAAACTAAATTCTTTATCAATAAGATACACTTCTGTTCTCAAGGTTTTTTTACAAAAATGTTAAATTCCAGAGTCGTGTAAATAACCTTCTAATAACGATAACTCAGTCACAAATATTGTAATCTATTTCTGTGCTTAAACTTAACTTAAAGTTGATAAATACAAAGAAAATAATACGTTATTCACTATGATTAATAGTTTATCTGTCTTTTACTACAAACTGTGACCAATTTGAGGTACTTTCATGCTGAAAGTTTCGATAATTCCGTCACTAGATGACGCCACCTTTTATCACAGAATACAAGATTAAAAAGTTTCTCTTCAAAAGCGTGGATTTGATTACGCTGACTACAACACTCTACTATAAATGTTTTCTTGTAGTTTTATTTTTAAGTCTGCTGAGGAGAGAAGTGCAAAAATAGCAGTGAAATAAATAGAAACCGTAAAGAAGAACTAGTAATAAGATATAAATGACTAAAACAAACTGAAATCAAACTTCTACACCAAATGAAAATATAAAAATGAAACATACAATATTTTACAGTATTTTTGGTGAAGTTCTCAAGTTTTACTTTTCAGTTATTATTTATTGAGTTCACAAGTTTTTTTATATATAGTCCAGATGTTCTACTTTTAAGTTATTGTTCATTGAGTACACAAGTTTTTTTTAAAGTCCAAATGTTTTACTTTTAAGTTATTGTTTATTGAGTACACAAGTTTTTTTTTAAAGTCCAAATGTTTTACTTTTAAGTTATTGTTTATTGAGTACACAAGTTTTTTTTTATATAAAGTCCAAATGTTTTACTTTTAAGTTATTGTTTATTGAGTACACAAGTTTTTTTTTATATAAAGTCCAAATGTTTTACTTTTAAGTTATTATTTATTGAGTTCACAAATTTTTGCTCTTAACTTATTTTATGGGGATCAAAAATTTGACTCACTTTTTGAATGGAAAGTGGTAAACTAAAATCCTTTCCTCCTTGTAAACGAAAACCCCACGGTGTGTTTTCTCCCCTTAACAGTTTGATAGTCAACATTTGAGAAGTCATCTCGAAAGGCCTCGGGATCAAGCGGTTGAAGCGTTATCGTAACCAACCTTTAAACTCACTGACAGAACTTTAACTTCGAATCAGCGGAAAAGCTCTCACTGTAACTCCCGGTTATCGGCGCTCTTGACACCCAGTCTGGCTCCGTTGAAGAAAGGCACACCTCCTGAAGCAGATGATTTATTCTACTATGCTTATAGTCTGGTAACCAGAGTTCCGTGTGCAAAGTTGTGGGAACAGTTTGTTAGCAGGAAGACCCCCCCCCATCTGTTGCTTCATGACGTCATAACTTCTAGTGTAAATAAGGTGAAGTCGCTTAGCAGCATTTGGACGTCAGAGATAAGAGGTGAAATCATTCAAAATCAACATCGTCAATGTTAAATTACGTTGATGTAGGTGTATCACTTTTCTGGACGATAGAAGAATTATAAACGTTTCTTGTTAATCACAAAAAGAAATATATGCACTTTCTTTAAAGGTATTTCTCAATTTTCAAATGCCTTACTAAGTAGACGGGAATCAACTGCTACAAGGATACTGTTTTGACCTTTATCTTGTCTTTCCTTATTTTTTTATTTAGATAACACTGTGATTTTGCTTTCATCTCTTATTTAGGTTAATAACATACAGATACTCTAAACAATTGTTAATGATATTGTTTCTGACCTTCTGTTTATTGTTCTGTAGTGTATTTTTCATGTGAAGTTTGTAATTCTTTTTGCACTGTTTCATTGCCACTGCAGGTTCGACTTTAAGCTTCCCTAACTGGACGAATCAATGGAAAAGATATAAGTTCCGAAGAATCGTAATTACAATTGTATTTGGGTTTGAGACAATGAAATTATGCGAGGTTAAAATAAAGTTAATTTGAATGAATAAGCTACACAGAAATGAAAATCCAAGGTTCGATTCCCTATTGTAACAACTGAAAGGTAATGGGAACTTAGAACATTTCCTTATTTATGACAAAGAACAAACATGGAGGACTGTACTTCAATCGTATTCCATCCTGTTATGAGGTTCCAGACAATGAAGATGGGTGAAAATAGCTCTTTCAGAGGAGTGGTCAGGAAGTCTCAGGACCATATCAACACCAATCTTAAGTTTACAACAATAGTGCCAGCCTGCTCTTGGCGTTCGTGGTGACCAGACTCTATACTGAAGTGGATTGTCATGAAAATTCAAAGCCATTTCTATCAAATATTCACTTACGAGCGTAGCCTGAATGACTAATTATTTGCATTTCAGATCATATGACTGAATTGAAGGGTTAATTAACATTATTTCATAGCAATAATTTTAGTTTTGTGTTAGCTATAATATTGCCAATTCCGATCATTCGTTAATAGTATTGTGTAGTGTATTCTAACGTTGGGAACTCTCTACGTATATGCTGTTTGTACATACGAAAAAAAAAGTATATCTATTGAAAGTCAAGTTGATTTTTAGCTTCGCCTGCTCTGATTGGAAGATTAATTACTACAAATATGCACATCGATTTTGGTACGAATGCAACAGAAGAGGTTGTTCGAATTTTGCGCATGACAGAACAATGTGTTTTAGGTTTCGGTACAAAAATAGCACTAAGATAACGAATGAGAACTGGGGAGGAGTGAAGGGATTTTTAACGTGCACGACACACTCTGTACGCTTCCATTGCTTTTCTACTACCTATTTCTTGCTGCGCTTGTTTGTTCTTGTAAGATATTTTATACGTGCTAAACCATGTTGTTATTGTTGTAATGCTTAATACTTGACATTCTGTTTCATTACTTTCGAACTATTTCTTCCCTGCAATACTGGTTTGTTCCTATAAGTACTGGTTCACGTGTTAAGCACAGTTTCATTCCTGTTTTAATGCTATATTCTTGTTGTAATACTTCATTTCTTTGCACTGCTGCGTCTTTCCTGATGGATAGCTCGCATTCCTATGTGTACAGCTTCAAATTCGCTGTTCTGTTTCATTTAAGATGAACATATTCGTTTAAATTGTCAATGCATTTATTTCCATTCTATTGTTCTACTTTTTTCTTATTCTCTTCATTGTATATCACTATTCGTTCTTAAGATATACATTTGTTACTATGCACATGACCTTTGAACTTTTACGTCAAAACAAACAAGCTGATATTGAACATTGTACGGAAGTAGAATTGAAATTCTTTTTAACATGCTAGCTTGTTTGAACATAGTGACAGCTTTCATTGAGAACCTTTTTTACTTTAGTTCTACATTAGGTGCTATAAGTACTGTTAGTCCAACTCTTTTCTGTTTTAAGTTAAGTTTAACAATTAGTTATATATTTTAAGCTAATTCTAACAGTTAAGCTATATGTATTTTAATTCAACTGTTGTAAAATACTCATTTCCATGTTCTCCAAGGCAAAATCATTTCGACATTTCCATCAATTTCAGCAAGATATTACGCCTAATATTTCAGTCATAACTGCAGATCGGTGTGCTCTGTTAGAGAAAGATAAGATAAACAGTTTAAGCAATAAAATTAACCCTTAAACAGACAGCTAGGCACAGCAGCCGTCACGTAACCCTTCTGTACCACATAGTTTCGGTGTGGAGTGTTAAACACAGGTACATGCAAACTGGAATTGTATATATAGCTTCTTGTTTTTTCTAGCCAGTCAGTCAAAACCTGTTTATCTTACATTCTTTACTCTTTATATGGTTTTAATTTACATCATCCTTGTTTACCAACGACCCGTTTCTTTTCACGTGTTGAAATAAAGTGTTTTAATTAATTTTATATAACGAAACTTAGACTTGAAATTTTCCAGTCAGCTTTAAATTAAAGGAATCTTGTATATGAAGCGATCGCGTTCTTTTAGGCGTAGTCACATCTACCAAAAAGAAACCATTACGCTGTTCTCACGAGTGCACGAGTGAAAACAAGTTTACTGAATTGGTAAATTTCAGAAAATCGCGTTTGTCTACAGACCTTTAACAGGGCTGAATAGCATTGCACACAAGGGCGCGACATTGTCAACTGAGGAAGAAAGATTATTTCCATTACCTTAGTACACTTATTGTGTTAAGTTCTCTTTTCCAAAAACAGAATGGAAAGAAGGTTTACTTTGTAAACCACTTAGAACTGTCATTTATATATTTGTAAATATTTAAATAAAACTAAAACTCCCAAGAACAGCTAAGAGAAAAAAATCAATGTTGTTTAGTGTTCTTCTGTTTGTTTTATAATAAAGCCACATCGGGCTATCTGCTGTTTCCACCGAGGGGAATCGAACCAAGGATTTTAGTATTTCAAGTTCCTAGGCTTACCTCTGTCCCACCAGGGGACAAACTTTTAATGTTTTTGACACCTATATTTTAGTATTTCAAGTTCCTAGGCTTACCTCTGTCCTACCAGGGGGCAAACTTTTAATGTTTTTGACACCTATATTTTAGTATTTCATGTTCATAGGCTTACCGCTGTCCCACCAGGGGACAAACTTTCATTGTTTTTGCCACCTTTATTTTAGTATTTTAAGTCAAACTAAATATTTACAGAATAGGATGTATTTCAGCTTTTTGATTCAAAGGTTTAAGTATATTTAGAATGAGTTAAACATTCACTGTGAAAAACATAAGAAATAAGGCCTTAAACTGATCAAGGAATTTAGTATATATCATACAATATAACATTTTCCAAGGAAAAAATTAACTTTTAAACCTTCTTATTCAAGAGGTTTAATACCAAATTTAACATTCCCAAAAAAGAATAAAAATGACATTCTGGATTAGTGTATATTTTAAAGTTTAAGATGTCTAAAATTAAGTAATAGTGAAAAAAAAAAAAGATTTAAGCCTTCTGATTCAATGTTGTACTATACACATCTTGTGGAATTCAATATCAAGAAAAAAAAGAATAAAAAAAGAACGTTTGAGCCATCCAGTTTGGTTTTAACATCTCCTGGGAAGAATAAAAACAAACATTTAGATATCATAGACCAAGACTAGGTCTTCCTAGGCGCATTCAATGTCGTAAAACAAAAAAATTGTAATGATTAAAAAGCAGTGAAACATCAGAGAGGTAACCTCGCTGTTAACGATATTTTCGATAGTAATATAATGTAGGAATTCACACTTAAATTTCTATAATTATTCGCATCATTCATTTGGTTACCAGAAAATTTTTATGTAACTTAAGTCAACTTTAAGAACATAGAATTCATCATTCTACATAATTGATGTAGCTTGAAAATTGCCAAAACTTCTAGAAACAAGATCATTCGAATAAAATTCTTTGCACTGGTTGTTTGAACTGAGTAGAGGCTGCGTGGGGTGACTTTTATCCCTTCTCATCTTCAAACCCTCACTAACTTTTTTACAGATTATATACAATCGCATTGTCACTGAATGACTAGCACCCTCTACCGGCAGCAAATTAAATGCATAAATAATATTAATTTAGATTGTTGAATATTTTCTTTTATTGCTTGCTTGTTATTATGTGATTTGCTGGTTAAGTAACTTTTAATTTTTCAATGTGGTTTTACGATCTTGATTCCATTAGATGGTGAAAAAAATACTGCTTATAATAATTACATGTAAAAGCTAAAAAACAGCGTTATTTGTCCTTAAAGAGTAGAAGATACTTAATCTGTCCTTAAAATTAAGAAGTCACGTAATACGGCTTAAAAGATAAGAATTTAAGTAACTTACACATGAACATTAATGTTGTGTTATCGGTCCTTAGATTACGAAAATATCTTAAAATGCCCTAAAAAATTAAAAACTTAATTTGTACTTGAACGTTAAAATTATATTAACGTTTCCTAAATTATTAGCATCATAATCAGCACAAAAATACTAAAAAAAATAATATAATTTGGCCTTAAAAATGTGAGTTAAAATACTTTTTTCGAACATATGAAGTTACATTATCGTTTCTTAAGTTGGTAAAGTATCATAATTGTTCCTTAAAGTTTAAATTGAAAACGAAAATTACATATAGGTCTTTAGAAATTAGTTTAACTACAAGTAACATAATATTTTATTAAATTTTTTATCGTTACATGTGCAGGGTTAAATAAGTTAATGTTGTTAGAACAATTTGAAAGTATCAGATAATAAGTTACACATGGAATCAAATAATTTTAAGAATGACTTGAGAATTGATTCAAAGATGAACAAAAATGTCGTCACAAGTTCTGTAATACAA